AGAATAACTTACTTTATTAACAACATTCAAAGTTTTCCAATTTACGGGAAACACAAATGCACCATGCAGACTAGAACCTAAATAAATAAACCAGGACGCAATTTCCGCCACAAAACCGGAAGCTGCATCGGGTCCAGAGGGAGGCGTGTTTGTGTTTCTGCGCTGTTGTACCAGCGCACATTGAGAAGGTCATCTACGGAGAAAAATATCCACTTAATGTAAGTTTAAACTGGGTTTTATATCCAGACATTGAGGCTAATTTCTGACACAATAAGGAAGCGATGAAGCAGCACCAGCTGTCCACCGGAAAACGTCTCACCAAACCGATTCTGTTCGGGGCTGTGCTGATTGGACTCGCCACTGCTTTCGTAAACAGGTACCTTATTCTACAACTGTTTGTTATAGTACGTAAAAATGGAATTAATTACAATAACAAACACTGGAAGTCTGCTATAATGGATAAAGTAACTTTTCTTTATCACTACTTCCTTTATAAACATGTAAATATGTTTGTTAAGCTTAAATGTTAACGGGTTTTTATCTTGTCCGTTTAATTTTAGGCAATTTTCTTAGGAAAAGGATGTTTCACAGAATAAAAAAGAACAACAAATAACTAACCAATTAAAAAAAAAATCTATACTGATTTAATAGGTAATAAATAACAAATCTAAGTGGCATCTTATGAGGCTGATGATTTCATCCTTAAATTTAAAATAATCACACAAACGTAAATAATTCCTATTTAAATCAGATACAGCTTGGTGTATTAAGCTAAAATATCACTATTATGTAGGATTTCTTTAGAGCAGATATTTTTCATGTTTTGTGTAATAACACACCGCTGCCACTAGGGTGTGCTCTGGAGCGTTTCTAGTTAAATGTTTGAGACAACAGGCTCACCACCAATGGGACCTCTGAGTTACTGCAACATTTAATTTGCCTTTGGGATGAATAAAGTATTTTTGAATTGAATTGTCATGTTTTTACATTATTGGATTTACAAACTATAGGAAAATAAACTAAACTACAAATTCTCAACCAGGTTTGAAAAGTAGTTGGCAGGGCACGTATTGCTAAATTACTTATAACCGTTTTTGTTGTAACATGTCAAAAGTATCGTATTTATAACTTCCTTGCCATGTTTTTTTAAATAACTCTACCCGTAAAACTCATATCATTTTTTTTTTATTTTTTTTTCCACATAGACATATGTTCTTTGAGGATGTGGAGGACCTGAGGGCTCAGGAGCGAGCACGGAATGAATTGAAGAGGATGGAGATCCTGGAGAGGCGGCAGAAGCAGAAAGATGAGCTGGCAGAGAAGAAGAAACACGGAGGGGAGTGATTCAACAAAGCAGCTTCAGAAACTTACGCGTCTGCTGTCCAAAGTCCTGCGATGGACCGACGCTCAGCAGATCAGTGGACTGAAAATAATCCCAGAATGGCTTTTCTAGATCTTGCTCTGAGCCTGTGTGCATCAATGGACTTGTTTTCTTTACATGTGAGTCCAAGCAAGAACCTAAGCTGTGCAAGAAACCAAAGCTGCATCTTTGTTTGGAGACATTTTTAAAACATTTAAACAGAATGTTTATTGATTGTGCAGCAGAGGGCAGCAAACACAACCTAATGAGACAACAGTAACCTACGGTAAACAATATGTACCTTTTGAGTGTCTTTAGTCACACTCTGTTGAATCATTTCAACTTTTTGTGACATTTTATATAAATGCAACAGAAAACATGGATTCTGCTTCTCATCTGAATTAATTCCCTATTGTGTGAAAAAGGGTTCATTAATATAGTAACACACATTGAAAATGACATTAAATATTGGAAATTGATGTAGTCTGTTATTATGTTCCTCAGTTAAGAAATGTTCTTGAATTAATCGTTCGGAGACATGAAATATGATAAGTATTAGTAAATCCCTAAGTTCATTTATTAAACATTTAGACAAGTTAAGTATTAAATAAATTCACTGCACATGAAGGGGATATACTGTATTTCACATGTTTTATTTGTATTGATTTTGTTCACAACCAATGAAAAATGAAAACTTAATTTCTCATAAATGTGAATATTACATTCAACTGATAAAAACACAAAAACATTTTAAGATGTTAACCACCTGCAGCTCAGGTTCCGAATATGAATCTGGCTTTTTTTTTTTTTAACACCAAATTTTAAACACTGAATTTTTTTAGACATTAAATTTCTTACACTCAGTTTTTATCTGGTACAAAATTAACCAGAAAAAAAAATTCAGCTGCAAAAAATTTACCTGCAAAAATTCAGGTGAATTTGTTTTGCAGCAGAATTTTTTTCTGGTCAATTTTGAGTGTAAGGAATTCAATGTCTAAAAAAATTCAGTGTTAAAAAAAGCCAGATTCCAATGAGACTGTTTTTCTTCCATATCAGCATGTATGGAGTAAATTTTGCTTCAAAAAGACTCTGTTAATCATTTTACTTGTACACCTTATCTAATCCAGCACACTTTTACCTTCCACTAAACTTTACGGTCATATACTTCTTCCGCAGTGACTCCTGAAGGTAAAGTCTAATTAATCGGATTTAAGCCTCCGGTTTAAGGTTTCTATTGGTTTGTCCAAACCATGAATTATCAGGAAGTGATTAATATATATGTTAGTCCTTCCCTGACCCCAGAAAGAAGTGACGTGATAATAAATACATTTTCCTTATTGGTACATGCAACCAATAATCAGGAATTTATAAATATACCCACACATGGTAAAAAGAAAAAAATATTGCACTAAACTGACATTGAAAAAAACAAAATGTCTTATATTTCACATCTATTAAAGATTGGCAAATTGTTTAGTGAATTAAAAAAGTTGAGATACTTAAACGTTCGAACAATACATAAAGGGATAGTTCGGATTTTTAGATGTACCAATTAGACTTGAACAGTTTAGTTTTTCTTTGAAAAATATTGAAATTGACTACAAACTTCAGTCTTTAGGTTAAATAACTAGTTTCAAAATAAGAGCTGCAATCAAGTTTCTTTCCTTTTTTTACGATCAGAGCTATATTTAAAAAAAACAAAAACATTTGGCCTTGTTTCCGCCTTTACTTAATCCCCAGAAGGGTAAGCTACTGACTGCTCATCGTGTCTCTGTAACAGCACTGGGAGACGATCCGAACTATCCCTGCAACATGTCTGAAAAAACTTCCACTTCATTGCCCAACAGCTACTGTGGATCAATATGACCAACACTTCATGTCACAGAAAGGGACGTTGTGTTACTCGCTACAAAGACTCACTGGATAGATGTGTAAATGAAAGAGACGAGCTTTAACAGTTTCCAACACGAGAAAAATGATGCTTTAAACTCACCTGTTGGACAATTTAAACATCAGTTCACCAAAGCGGCCTGCATGAGCCCAAAGGTTTAACTGATATTATTGCTAAGTAAAATTGTGAGAAATGTTACTTATAAGTGAGAATTTTCCTGTTCGTGTCATCAAAAGAGTAACATTTGCATAATATTAAACCTTTTTTTAACATGATGCACTCGGCAAACTCATGTCAGCTAAGTAGTAAGGCCGTTGTGGCCTCTGTCAGAACCAGACGGATAGACAAACACCCATTACTCACGTATGGAGCCATCTTTACAGCGGTTATGAAGCACAAGGGTCAAAACAACAGAGCACAACGCAACAAAGAGGGTGCAACAGGAGACGGTGCAACAAAGTGTTCAATGTGCTCCTGTGTGCTGCAGCCGGGCGGCGTTTGGCCGATGGGGTCTCACACAGCCAGGCGCACCAAGCCGGGCGAGGAAGCAGCAGGAGCAGAGGTGATGGCCGTCAGGCTCCCCGGTTCAAGTCTGTTCACTTTCCCACTGCAACAAAACCATTAGGATATATTTTATTAATTAATGTATGCTTACTAAAAAGTTTGCAGCCTTTTTTTGTCTTTTAGCAACTTTTCTCTGACACAATCAGGTAAAACTAAAAAAATCTGAAGCTCTAATAGATGCAAAGATTTCTATAAAAATTTAAGAGAGAGATTGTAAAAAAAGAAGATTCCAGTTAGGAAAAAAAATGTGATGTAAACAAATTACATTTAGTCTTTAAGTAACTTTTAGAGAAGATAACTTTCCAAGATACTTATCTGTGTATAACCATTACTTTTAAGTACTTTTAAAACTAAATACACTAGCAAAAATATACAAAGGTGATGTAAAGTTTTAGGAAAACCAATTTTGAAATGTAACATTTAATTAAAACCCAGAAGAAAACAAACCAATATGAGTCACTGAAAAGCAGCATTTGCTTAAAAAAATAGATTTTAGTTAAGTTCCTGTGAAAAAACTACGTAAGAGGGCATATATATATATCTTTTTTTATCTTCTGTATGCTTAGCTACCTTTAAAACCGTTTTTTGTTTAAATGCTAAATCATTGCCATACGTATAGAACAACGGGTGCAAAAATATGGGCACCTCAGCAAAAAAGAGAATATTTAGATGAAGAGGTTAAAATCGAGTTACAGAGAAACAGCCGGTATTTCTCGGTTTAGTTCCACCCTTGTCTCTGCAACGCCTCCACTTATCACCAAATCAAACATACTAAGAAAACGATACAAAGAAAAAAAGCTGCAAAAAAGACTTAGCACTGGTTATGTTGTGGCTTTAAAACTGATTTGTTTGGTTCCCTGCTAAAACAAAGTTTGTGAATTCAGTAAATAATTGTTAAAATATATCTGTCATTTGTGTGTTTTTAGCTTTCTTCCTGTATGGGAAGCTTTTCAAAATTTGAAACATCAGTGCAGTGGTTTATGTTAAAATAAACCTTGGGGTTAAGTTGTCGCAAGCGGGTTTTTCTTGTGTTTCTTGTGAATTTTTATTTCAAGTGGCATTAAAAAGTATTAAAAAGTCTTGAGTTTAACTTGCCTTATGCCGTAGGAACTCTGTATATGCAAAAGAAGTTAGCATATGTATGGGAGGGTACCCTGTAAAAGCTTTTAACAGTTAGATGCATTATATATTATTACTTTAATGAAAAAAGAAGACAGGTCTCACATTCAAAAGGCAAGAATTATTAAAAACAAATAAAGCACAAAAGAATAATTAAATGCCTGAAAATAAATTCCCTGGCCATTCAACTCTTTGTATAATTTATTTCTTTTTTCTTTTTTTTAAAAGAAATTTTCTAGATGTGAGTCAGCTGTAAAGTGTCCCTATCAAATAAAGTTAACTTTCTGGGATATTAAAGGACAGACCAACATCAAGTAATATATTAATAAAGTTGAAAGAAAATTTATATTTTCTTTATTACAAACAAGTCATCAAAGCATGGTCAGCACTTGCACTGAGCCCCATTTTAATCTGTTACCCCTGAATAAAGGCCAATGCAATCGTTGCCTTTTAAAAGTCTGCTAATCAGTCAATATTGTCCCTTTGTATGAGCAGGGAAAGATGTGGAGAAGTTTAAAGCATAATTTGGTTATAAAACAGTGTCTTCTTCACAGAACTTAGAGTGAAAATCAACCAACACAAAATGCACATGTTCACTCTGGAGGAGCTGCAGTGCTCTACAGCTCTGGTAGACAAACCTCAGGAGTCAGAAGAATTATCCCTTATGGATTAGTGACTTTCAGTCAGATTTTGCTGGAAATGCACTAACATGTTCTACTAAAGGCCAATTAGAGCACTTTGCAAAAAGGTGAGAGATAGATGTGGCACCAAATGCTCGTGCTTTAGCAGGAAAAAAAAAACCTTTGTTAAAATGAAGCCATAAGAACTTCCATTAAAATTATGTCAGAGGGTATGTGAATGACAAAGCAAACATGAGGAAAAAGGTGCTTGGATCACATTTAAAGGAACATTAACACAGTACACTACACTAAAAACACCTTCCCTGTTAAACGTGGCAGTAGTTGCATCATGTTTTGAGAATAAGTTTCTCCAGAAGGGTAAGCGAATAAATGGGAAGGTGGATTGAGCTAAATTAGAGGCAACACTAATGGATTCATGCTGCAGGATGTAAAAGACTAGACCTGTAAACCTGAAAATGACTCAAAGCAGAAACCGAAGTTTGATGGAATAGTTTAGATTAAAGCGTGTGTTAGAACGACCCAGTCAGAGTGGAGGTAAAAATCCAATTCAGTATCTGTGTCAAGATGTAAAAACACTGAAAAGCTGCATTAGCTGTTTTCTGTAAATGAGCTAATAGAGACGTATCTGCAAAGACACAGGCGCTTCAATTTCCTGTTCAGTTTGCAAAATCCTAAGGAAAGTGCAAACATGTTTGTTTTTTAAAATGGTGAAATGTGAAAAGGAGAGTTAGTACTGGAAATATTACCCACTTAAAAATGAACACTACCCATAAACGTGACAGAACTCCAAACACTAGACGGGACATGATGGTGTCCTCCTTTAGCTTCATCTAACATGGCAAAAACAGCACAGCAAAACCCTTTTACCAAAGAAACAAACAGATCCTGCCTTAAAATAGCCCAGATAGTAATTAACCCTTTCTCTCCCATCACCTTGGAACTTGCTAATACTTGCAAATCCACAAATGCTAACGGACTGTTGTGGCTAAATAATCTAAAACCTTGTTTCAGACACCTACAAATATGTCTCACACTGTTAATACATGGAAAGCTTGATCTAAGGTTAACATCTACAGTGTTTTGTACAGAGAATGGCCAAAAGTTTTGCATGACACAACTGTTTCTTTATGCTTTATAAGCTTAAAAGTTTCTTCTGTTTGTCCCTCTTTCCAGTGTTAACCAAGCTCTGCACTGGTGGCAAAATAACCAGTAGCTCTTGGACGACATGAAGCCCCCCTACTAATACAAAACCTTCCACTTTGGGTTCATGCAAAATCTGCACTATAGAAAAACTCTAATCTGAATAAGTCATTTTTTCTTAAAATAAGAGCAGGTAAATGAGAAATAAGAAATAAACAATTGCAGTCTCTTATTTCAAGTGCATATTATCGAATAATCTTATTCTAAAATACTAAAATACTCATTCCATTGGCAAATCATCTTATTTACCTGCTTAAATTAAGGCTAAATAGGCTTATTAAAGACATTTTTACTTATTTCTAGATCATTTTTGCAGTGTGTAAGCTTCACAGTAAACACAAAAAGCCAATTATTTATCAGTCTCCTTCATAGCTATAAGCTCATCAGGTTGACTTCAACAGGACTTTAATTTGTCTGTACTGAAATAAACTAAGCAGGTCAGTTTGTGCTCAGAGAATTTCAGCATCTGGATCCCATTCTTAAGTATTATATCATAAGCTTTTATCATTCAAGTTATAAGCTATCCAAGTAAACACTACTTTGCAGCAAACAAGGCAAAATCATGAGGTCAAATATGGTCTTTAGGGTCTGCAATGTTAACCTCTGTCTTAACACTGAATGTAGCTGCAGTAATCTAAGGTTGCCTCCTGTGTTTTATATCTAAGGTACCGCAAATTAAATTAGAAATAAGTTTATAAGTTAAGTGAAAACTTAATAAGCTAGCTAAAAAAGTCAAAAAGCTAATTTAAAAAGTTAATAAGCAAATATTAAAAAGTCAGAAAAATGTGGTTCCTGTATCAGCGTTGATGTTTTGAGGCTTTCTTTAAAAATTTTCACAATTTCTTATAAAAGCACTTTCTGAATTTTTCTTTATCAGGCCAATGAAATTTAATTATTTTTAGGTATACCAAAAGTGTAAGAGGTCTTGTTTTGTTCAGGAATAATACTCTTGAAATTATTTCAAAATATTTCACTGAATGTCCGTTAAAGCAGCGGTCCCCAACCAAAGGGCTGCAGACCGGTACCGGTCCGTGGGTCATTTGGTACCGGGCCGCACAGAAAAAAGTATATATATATAT